ACTGGGAAAAATGATCAGCGGTGTCTGGCGAGGTCTGAGGAAATGCATAGACTGGGAATATAGATGGGACATCGGCGGTGATGCCACGTACACTGAGCTTCGTTGCAGCGTCGACTATCATCTGGCATTACGCATCGACCAAGAGGTCGAAACGCCTGAGCAAGTCAATGCCGATGATGGCATAGGGGGATGCAGCAACAGTGAATACCCAGCGGAACGTACGCCGAAGGCCTAGGTCCAGGGTAAGTGACCGATGACCGTAGGTGGCTATTGGCGTGCCATTGGCAGCACTGAGGCTTGTCGACAGAGAAGCGGTAGGCTCACCTGGCATAGGGGGAATGACGCTGAGTTCCGCCCCGGTACCAACTAAGAACTGAGTATCGAAGTCATAATCCCTAATGTATATGAGACGACTTTGGGCTTTGCCGACGTTCGTGGCCATTACAGCCCAGCGTGGCGGATCATCTAAAGCGGAGTAGCTACACGGCTGTACGCACTTACGTGCTTCATTAACGAAACGCGAGTGGTGAAAGCAGTAACCTGTGGCATTAGGTTTCGTGCGACAGAGCGATGGTCCAGAGCGGTTGCGGTGCTTACGGTTTAAAGTGAGTTCCTCGATTTGGCGCTGAAGCGACGTTTTCTGCAATGATAATGCGTCTATTGCCGACCGCAGGCTAGTCGCGCCTGTCTTTGTGGTTGCGCCAGCACAAAGCTGTTTAGGCTCCTTTGTTTCAGTCTCTTGTTGGTGCCGTTCGATGACGCGGTCTGCTAGATCTGCAACTGCTGTGATAGGCTAGTCACTTGCTACTGCAAGGATAGCCTGAGTGCTTGCAGCAAACCGTTGCATCCACAGCTCGCGGAGAATCGCTACATCTATGTTGGACGTGTCGATGAGCTGTTGCATTTCGCGCAACAAGGCTGAGGGTATCCTATCTTCAAGCTGCAGCTCACTAAATAGTTGCTGCAGACGAACCTTGTCAGAGTGCGTGATTCGCTGAATAATAGCCTGTTTAATTGTCTCGTATTTCATTACTAGCGGTGAGCAAATTTTGATGTCTCTCACTGCGAGGATATACCCTGAAGAGGACAAGATATTAGCTGATTATACATGGCGAAATCAGAAGAAATCCTACGAATATAAACTACGGATTCTAGGTGCAAAAAGCAAATTAAAGGATCATTCTCCCAAAAGGGGGATGGGCTAACCCAACAGAATTGACCATGACAGGCTGAACGCCATTAACCGCGCATGGAGACCGCGTATCCTATAGACAACCCGTTGCAAAAAGCAACTAAAAAATGTGGTAGTTGAGTAAATAATGTGACTACATGTAATGCATCACAAAACCACTGGAACGAGCTCACCAGAATGAAAACTCAAAATGGCCGACTGCATGTTCCTGACAGGGGGTCACCAATAGTTGGGCGGAGCCTTGTATACTGGTCGGTAAGCAATGACACGTAAGACGTGTCAAATACGTTATTATAGAAGTCGGAGGCGACTGAACCCAACGTATATTGTGCAAGCTACAACAATAGAAAGCGAATCAGACAAAGTGAGAAATGTGCAGCTAGGTACTCACCAAAACGGTTTGTGTCAACGGAAGTGCAGTCAGTAAAACAAGTGGACGTTTCGAAAGTTAAAACAATCGTAAAATCCAATAGTACAAAATACTGAAAGAGCTTGTTTTCCGTTACACTACAACTTCTAAGCACCACCTAAGATTTAAAAAATGCTTACAACAATTTCCATTATTTAATGAGTATTACAAATTAACTCTACCTTAAGACATCAAAATGGAAAACATTTTATATAAATTATTTTAAGGTTCAAAGTGTTAAATAAACTCGTGCTTACCACACATATATTTATGGTGCGTCAGATGTCATGTTTTCTTTAATTTACCTTTATCAACATTAAGCCTGCAAAGATGCAGTACTATTTGGTTCACTTGCTTGTCTTATATTTCCCCAAACGTTTATACTCTATTGCTGCTTTGCAGTTAAATGCAACCTTCACCCACAGGACGTGATTTCTGGTTGACCAATTTATACCAATGAAAAAAACTAGTGTTGACTTGGTTTTTTGTAAACGATCGGCAGTCTGACGCATAGGGGCGCTGGTATATGCAGCTCACATTTTCTATCAAACATAGGATTATGTAGAATGAGTTGCATTTGTCTAACTTTTGGAAGAGCAACATCATCTTCTCCAGAATGTATGGATTGGTACGTCATTGCAACTAGAAAATACCTTCACAAGTTTCAAATGTAAGGTTGTGGTAACCATGTGAGCAAGATCGATTTGCTCAAGCTCATTGGTTGGCTTGCTGACTCATTCCTATCTTACTATTGGTTGTGTGTCTGACGCTTGACTCTCCGTTTAACAAGGGATTGACTCAAATGTACTTGGTTAATTTTGCGATATACATTGTTACCTTTCCTACGGCTTTCTTGATACAACATTGTGGCGTCGCGCAGGCAAAAGTGACCCTTTCCATCCAAACCCCATCTCTATTTTAGACTGATTGCGGCAGCAGACCGACATCGGATGCCTGGTTCCGTTGAAAAACGTCCTTCCTAAACTATTTGGATTTAATCAGCGATCTCCCTACTGCTCTTAGTGAGGATAAAATATTGAAGCTGCTTCGACATTAACTCGGAGATGAGGGACAGCGGCAATTCGATCATTTGGGACTCCAAGGATGCAAATCGGTTATAGACGCTTTCAATGCTCTCGATCGTGCGTGGAGTTACCAAATGAACGTGTTTACCGCGCGATATATTTTCTTCCGAATACACCAAGAAGCAGGCGAACGCTTGAATGATTTCATTGCTCGGCTGAGTCGTGCAGTACGACCGTGTGTCAACTCGTCTACTCCACAGAAAAAGATTGAAGGCTGTATGCTCACTCAGCAACTGATCACTGGAATCGCTGACAATCGCATACATGAGGCCCATTTGCAGGAAGACGCTTGCACACTAACGTGGGAGCGAGCTTGCGAATTAGCCCGAGTAAAGACATAAATTTCGTTGCAATCGAAGCAGTTTTGTTCCACCAGCTTAGCTGAAGTGGCGAGAGTACAATCTTTCCGGCAACGTCCGACAAACAAACTGTCTTGCTATCGTTGTGGGAGCGCGTCTCACAAAGCTAATTTTGCCGGTTGTCCCGCACGTAGCCTCAAATGTAAAAACTGTGATAAAATTGGACACTATGCCCGCTGTTGTCGATCGCAGGCTGTCGCGCTCATTAAAGACGATGATACACCGGAATGCCATGTTACCGATCCAACTCAAGACAATATGTATTCAATCATCGCTGACTCCATACCTTCAGGTTGTGTAACCATATCCGTTGTTGAACCAAAGTTTCCCGCCGCTGACATTCGTACTGTATTGTTCCTTACAGTTAAAGGTGCTGTTCCATTGGAAATGGAACTTGATTCTGCTTCTCCAGTCACTATCGTGCCTTTCCAATTTTATGAACGCTACCTATCACAGCATACTTTGCATCCCACCTCACATTCATTCTGGAGTTATAGTGGGAACACACTAACCATATTGGGATTTATTATCGTGCCTTTGCAGTTGCGTTCTGTGATTGCCGATGTCGCAGTGTATATTTCTTCGGACAACAGACAACCCTTGCTTGGGAGGAACGCTATGGTGGCTTTGCACATTGTACCATCATTCGACCGCATGCTTATCTCTTCCGTCAACGTAGCACACTGGCAGGAACATTATCCGAAGCTCTTCCAGAAGTCCATCGGCCGTATTCCATGTGGCGTGCATCGAATTCAGCTGAAACCGAATGCGAAACCTGTCGCCATTGGTCAACATCGACCCATTCCGCTAGCAAAACCTGAAGCGGTCTCAGCAGCCCTGCAAGCGATGCTAGCAAATGATTTGATTGAACCCATCGACTGCTCTGAGTGGGTGCATCCAATGGTTTGTGTCATGAAAAATGACGGTACTGTCCGGATAAGCAACTATTTGCAGGCACTGAAAAACAGATCGTCGTAGAGCGCTTTGTTTTGCCATCTAATGATGAACTCACTGTACGTTTAACTGGTGCATCTATTTTTTCCAAGCTAGATTTGAAAAGTGCATTTTTTCCGTATACCATTGGCCGATGATTCTAAACACCTAACTGCCTTCCTTGCTCCTGATGGCCTATTTCAGTACAAAGTCTTACCCATGGGTTTGAGTTCCGCGCCCGCCGCCTGGCAAAAGTTCATGACTCACGCCCTGGCAGGTATCGATGGGCAGGTTGCCTACATGGATGATATTTGTGTTTTCGGCCGCTCACAGGAAGAACATGATGAAAGGCTACACAAAGTCCTCCAGCGCCTCAGTGATCTCAATTTGCGTCTGAAAGCAGAAAAATGTCTCTTCAATGCACCAGAAATTCAGTTTTTGGGACACGTCATTTCACGCAGTGGCATTCGACCAAGTGATGAAAATATCAGGGCCATATCTGAAGCGCCAACACCCAAAAACTTGACAGAACTAAAGTCCTTTTTAGGAATGTGCTCTTATAACCTGCGCTATCTGCCGGATTTTGCGACTGTGGCAGATCCATTACGACAGCTAACAAAGAAAGGATCGTCGTTTGTCTGGGGCAGCAGTCATCAAAATGCCTTTGATGAACTGAAAAGGAGAGTTGCGTCTGCTCCCTTAGTTGCCATGTTTGACGAATCTTGCCGCACGTTTGTGTCCACTGATGCGTCTGATGTCGGTCTCGGAGCTGTCCTCTCACAAATACAAAACGGAGAGGAGAAAGTTATTGCCTACGCATCACGAAAGCTATCAGATTCCAAACGTCATTATTCAGTTGGGGAAAAAGAAGCCCTTGCATGTGTGTGAGCCTGTGAAAAGTAGCATTAATTTCTGTTCGGTCGTCGTTTTATTCTGCGTACTGATCATTCAGCCCTAACAGCTCTTTTCAGCAATGGATCTAAAGGATCTCGCCCAATGCCGGATGTGTCCTAATAGTAGTAATGTTTAACGACGGACAGGAACGGGACGGTGTCGCGGCTGCCGGACCACAGACCGACGAGGGCAGAGCGGAAAGCAGTGACGACGGCGAGCGACGTACGAGCGGCCAAATTCACGACAAACATCACCGACGGGGGACGTCGCGAGCGAGAATAGAAAGGGGGACGCCCGACGACGCAGGGCAAACCGAATTGTCGACGAGACCGACAGCGACTTCGGACGCTTCGGGTGGAATCGCGATCGAGACGACGAGCGGAGGCCGGGGGGGGGGGGGGGGGGTGACGGCGCGAATCGCGTGATTCGTGTCAGACGTGCCTGACCTGGAATCGCAGAGACGAGGCTCTGAGACGAACCCGTATTGCCGTTCAATCGCACCAGACAGCAGCACGCGGAGCGGCGATCAGGCGCCGCCGGACCCGAGTATCCGACGCAGCGACGGATGCCGACTCGGACGATCCTGTGGACGGCGCGGCGACAGACGAATCGACGACCGCGGGCGTGTCTCACTTGAGATGATTCTTATTCCAGCAATCTCCGGGAACTGTGTTGTACGAAATCTAACCGGTATCTAATAACCTGTAACGACTTCAGAGGTCTTGGGCTGAATTAAGACTTCGCGCTGTTCCAGACACTTTAAGTACTACACCAACCGAGGCGAATCTATGCCTGTGTCATTCGTCCACCTTTCGCCTCAGCATAGAAGAGAGCTTGCCTGTGTGTCTGAATGCTCGCTATACTCAGTAATGTTGAGACGTCAAGACTCCTATATCTAGATATGTAGAACCCGCTGTCTCGCGGGGAACGACGACGCGGGGCGAACGATTCGGGAATGCGCATTGAGAGGATTTTCAGCGCGTTTGCGGGACTCATACACGTAATGCGCGATTCTAGACTTGAGCCTCTTCTGGAACTGCAGTAAAGAGAGAACTAAATGTTGGAGATGGAAAGAACTAAACAGAGCGAGGTTTATTTGATTTTGTTCACTGGCCATCAATCACGGCTTAAGCAACGCTCAGGTCTTAGATCACTCTCGCCAAATCCTCGGAAATAGCTCGGCGCAGCCGGTGGTACTCGGTCCGATTGGGAGCGTAGGAGGAAGCGACTCTGTAATGACTTAAGTTCCAATAAGATGGGGAAACAAAAGGCACTTCTGGGACTGTTTACTCGGATAGTGGTTAGTTCTGTCTATGCGGACTTCGCTTGGTCCGTGATTGGGGAGAGAATCTCGAAACGACTCTCGTTTACCAAACGTGTCCGCTCGTGAAGCGCAAAGTGGTGACAATACATGTCACTACTCTCTCCTGTCGCAGCGGTGCCATCAGCACACTATTGGGATCAGACTCTAAATGCGGGGACAGATAAGGCCGTATGCGTGGTACAATGCGAAGTATCGGGAGAGAAGATAGCCTGCATGTTTGCGTACATTTTGAGTTGCAGGCCGGAAGAAATGGCTGCCGTACTTTCTCTAGGAACAGTGCCGTAAAAACGTGAGTTAGGCGCGTTGTTTAGGAACTGATATGCTTGGAGAGGTTGCTTAAATTCTTGTGTGTGCAATCACGGCCGTTTGCTACTCCGGACGAGGAACAGTGACAACGACGCGGATCTCCGAGCCTCATTCATAGCCTCGGGTAAGGCTCTTTTAGTGATCACACAGAGCGGAAAGCGAGAAGTGGTTGCTCGTGAGAAGTTCTGGGTGAGGACACGGGGGCGCATTAGGTGCGCGCAGCTCAGAGCGGGGAGATCGAGATCTGATGGATATACGGAGCGTGCGCTGCACGTGATGTTAGATGTACTCGCTGATTTTGGATAGATGTGGAGCTCGGCCAGCAGTTGTTGTGGGTTATAAGAATGACTCTCGCGGTATGTGAGACGCGCATATCTCGTCTTGTGAGAGCACCTTGGGGTTGGAAGATGAAAAAGAGAGACTCAGAGAGGCGGTATAAGTTTCCAGTATCGGAGCAAGCCTGTCTTACATGACGATCGAGGAAATACGAAGGGAAAATTCTAACGATTATTTACTGCACGAGATCATTGAATATGTGCAAAAGGGCTGGCCCAAGAATAACAAAATCTACATTGATATCATGGGCCATTTCGCTACTGCTCCTACGAATAAGCAAAATCAAATTGGGTGTTGCCCGCCTGAAACCACTGCACTCCATGACGCGTTTCGAGGTTATTTCCTCTCATCAGATAGAGATAGCAGGCATCGAACCCGGGACCATTGAGATGTTAGTTGTGACCGCCACCCCTAAGCCACCGGGTCACGACGGGCAAAGCTTGGCACAACGGCAAATAACAGATTGGAAAGTGAATTTGAAGTACACGTTGTGTGGATGGATTGCGACGCGCAATCTCAAAGTAGACCGCGATTCCCATTGAAGTGAACCTTGGCCATTCGATCACTAGGACCGTAGCTGATGAAGCAGCAGCAAATTGGGTGTTGCCCGCCTGAAACCACTGCACTCCATGACGCGTTTCGAGGTTATTTCCTCTCATCAGATAGAGATAGCAGGCATCGAACCCGGGACCATTGAGATGTTAGTTGTGACCGCCACCCCTAAGCCACCGGGTCACGACGGGCAAAGCTTGGCACAACGGCAAATAACAGATTGGAAAGTGAATTTGAAGTACACGTTGTGTGGATGGATTGCGACGCGCAATCTCAAAGTAGACCGCGATTCCCATTGAAGTGAACCTTGGCCATTCGATCACTAGGACCGTAGCTGATGAAGCAGCAGCAAATTGGGTGTTGCCCGCCTGAAACCACTGCACTCCATGACGCGTTTCGAGGTTATTTCCTCTCATCAGATAGAGATAGCAGGCATCGAACCCGGGACCATTGAGATGTTAGTTGTGACCGCACCCTTATTAAAAAGTCTCTCATAAGGGGTCAATACGTGCTCGCTCCTAGAGCTGTTGACCCATCTCGTCTCTGTGCAGAATAACTGGTATGGGAATGGTGAGTGTGTGGATGTACACGTTTGCTGTGGATGGACTCGACGCTCGGGACGGTGACATAATTGTTCAAGAGCAGATCGTAGAAAATCTCCAAAGTTAGGTGTATCTCTTGATTGGGCCATGTGTCTGATACTAGATGAATCACTGACCGCTAAGAGTGCTTATAGTATTGCTGGCTCTTATCTCTGACAGATAGATATCCTAAGAACGTGAGAAGATGAAGTGGAATTGATAGACGCGAAAACGGCGTCGAAGTAGAGATATTAAATGAACGCGAGATGTGTCAGGCAGCGACATAGCAGTCCAAAGATGTGCTGTGCTGCAGATAGCTATGGCTCTGGGTGAGAGTCTGTGATAATGCGCAATAATCAATAGAGTGTTTATTGTCGAGTTGCAATGGGGATTATAAAGGCGAAGGAACGCGCGAAACGTTGAGATGGGGATCGCGTCGACATATCCACTATCAGACAGAGTATCGTGATATCTTCGCTAGAGAATTCGACTTCCGCGAGATCTTGTTATGTGCCGTTGTGCAAGCTTTGCCCTTCGTGAGTACTCTGGCGTGGCTTACGTGGTGGAGTGTATGTGTGTCAAAGATGAATACTAACACTTAATCTCGGGTCTACGTGGTTCAGAGAGTGCCGTGCGCTTTATGTGAGTCTATCCGTTGAGTATAGTGTGACTGAGAGAAAGAAGTCTCTGGTATGATCACGCGTCTCGGGGTAGCCGTGTGGTTTCTAGCCAGGGTAACACCCAATTTGCTGCTGCTTCATCAGCTACGGTCCTAGTGATCGAATGTCAAGGTTCACTTCAATGGGGCTCGCAGTCTACGTTGAGATTACGCGTCGCAATCCATCCACACAACGTGTACTTCAAATTCACTTTTCAATCCGAAATCTACTTTTTGCTACATGTTTTTACAGTAGATGGCCTGACGTACACTTGTGCGACCTAGTTACTACTTCGGTTGTGTTGTTACGTTGGCTTAAACACTTGAATAGGCGTTTTGGTTTACCGCCTGAAATATTGACGGATAACTGTCCATAATTTTGTAGCCGCAAATTCGCAGATTTTCTACATTGCCATAACATTAAGCACTCCAAACCTGTGCCTTACAATCCTGTGGCCGACGGCATGGTCGAGCGTTTAATCCGGTCTCTAAAAGAAGCTATACAAGCCATACACATAGGAGGTTCAGACTGGGAGGATGGCGTTTTAACTGCTGTATTTCCTTCTGAGCATGTAACTCCACAGAGCCACCGAAGAAACGCCAGCGAAGCTGATGCTAGGAAAGGACCTTACGCACAACTTAAAGCTGCACATAACCTTTTTTAGCGAGAGATGTCGATGTTTCAAATCGCTTAGGACCTTACCAAACTTGTGCTATACGCTAAAGCATCGACAACAATGCAGCCCGGGGACTAACGTTTCGCGTCAATGGCAGGAGGGCGGGACAAAGATCGGCACACCTTCAGACTTCCCGCTCCCAGTGCGCATCTCCATACGCTTGGCCCCGGGCACCTATCTTATTGGAGAAAACGGGCCTAATTTGTCAACGAGCCGTGGGACTCCACACAGCTCACGGGACCAGCTAATCAGCCCGAAGGATCCGCGCGAAGGACCCGGCTGAGTTAGCATTACCATGAGTGAGCTGCGTCGGTCCGTCAGGTACGTGCGCGCGACTGCAAGAATTCCGCATTATGTCACGCGGGCCTCTTACATATCGGAACTCGATATAGTTCGCTTACCGACGGCTTCCCTGTTCTTGGTAATGTGCGACACAAGGTAGAAGGAAGACAAAAAGTTGGCGTGTAAAACTCCGTGTATGACACCCCCAAAACAATTGGCTAATTACTGAAATATTTCTTACCGCATATCTTTATTGCAGTTTTGTGCGATTGATAAAGTAATCAAGCGTATTACCGCAATGGGTATTGCGGTATGTACTTTTGTTCAGAATAAAAGTTTTAGTATTAACTGTTTTAGTAAGGCTCCCAAAGACAGTTGTACCCTTCAAGGATCAGCAGCGCACAGTTTCGGCAAATTTAAATTCCAGTGGCGCTACAATAGTGTACATTGGTTTGAAATCCCATCAGTCGCTAATGTTGACTCCATGGGTATGTAATATTCGAACTGTCTTAATTTGGTATTCCTTTGGATGTGAACGCCGAAGAAACCTTGGTAATCGTAAAGAGAATGAATTCCGTGCTGACATCGAACGCTGTTCGCTGGAGATGATTTTCGCAATAAGAAAAACATACAAAACATGAAAATTTTCCTGATGGGCTATTGCTTTGCACTACAAAAGTCTCAATAGGCCGCGCTGTGTAGATGTGTT